CGACACAAATCTTTGAGGACGGAACCACCGAGGAGAAGGGAGAGAATGCCCGTCTCTCCGCCTTCGTTGGCGCCATTGCCGTCGGTGACCTCGTCAAAAGCACCCTCGGCCCCAAGGGTATGGACAAGATTCTGCAGTCTGCGTATGTTGAACCCCGCCAAATTCAATACCCCCCATTTCTCGCTTTAATCCACTGACATGGCTGACAAACGTCCAGATCGACTGGCGAGATCATGGTCACGAACGACGGCGCTACCATTCTGAAGTCTATTGCTCTCGATAACGCGGCGGCTAAGGTGCTGGTGAACATCTCCAAGGTTCAGGATGACGAGGTCGGTGATGGTACTACGTCCGTTGCTGTCCTTGCGGCGGAGCTTCTGCGCGAAGCTGAGAAGCTTGTCGACAAGAAGATCCACCCCCAGACCATTATCGAGGGATACCGGATAGCAAGCCAGGCAGCCCTCAAGGCCCTGAAGGAGTCAGCCGTCGACCGCAGCAACACTCCCGAGGCATTCAGAAAAGACCTGCAGGCCATTGCCCGCACAACTCTCAGTTCCAAGGTTCTGGCCCAGGACCGCGACCACTTCTCCAAGCTCGCCTGCGATGCCGTGCTGCGACTCAAGAACTCCTCCGACCTGAGCCATATTCAAATCATCAAGAAGGCCGGTGGCAAGCTGAGCGACTCGTACCTCGATGAGGGGTTCATTCTCGACAAGAAGATTGGCGTGAACCAGCCCAAGCGCCTCGAGAAAGCCAAGATCCTGGTTGCCAACACCTCTATGGACACAGACAAGATCAAGATCTTTGGCGCCCGCGTCAAGGTGTCAACAACGAGCAAGCTGGCCGACCTCGAGAAGGCTGAAAAGGAGAAGATGAAGGCAAAGGTGGAGAAGATTAAGTCGCACGGCATCAACTGCTTCATCAACAGACAACTCATCTACAACTGGCCCGAGCAGCTTTTCACAGATGCCGGCATCATGTCCATCGAGCACGCCGACTTTGATGGTATTGAGAGATTGGCATTGGTGACGGGCGGTGAGATTGCCTCGACTTTTGACCACCCCGACCAGGTCAAGTTGGGACAATGCGAGCTTATTGAGGAGGTCATCATTGGCGAGGACACCTTGATCAAGTTCTCCGGCGTCGCTGCCGGCGAGGCCTGCACCATTGTGCTGCGTGGTGCCACAGATCAGCTTCTGGACGAGGCGGAGCGCAGTCTGCACGACGCCCTTGCCGTCCTGTCACAGACGGTGAAGGAGCCGTGGACCACTCTGGGTGGTGGATGTGCTGAGATGGTCATGGCCAAGGCTGTCGAGGGTGCCGCCACTCGCGTTGAGGGCAAGAAGCAGATGGCTGTCAGCAGCTTTGCGACTGCGCTGCGCCAGCTGCCCACCATTCTGGCCGACAACGCCGGTCTCGACTCTGGCGAGCTTGTGGCCCGTCTGAGAAAGGCGATTTACGACGGTATGACGAATTATGGATTGGACCTGCTGTCGCCCGGCGGTGGCATCACCGACATGCGCGACTTGGGTGTCGTTGAGAGTTACAAGCTGAAGAGAGCGGTTGTTTCGTCTGCCAGCGAGGCAGCAGAGGTATGTGCCATCCCACTAGCAACGCCTTTGGTGTTGACTGTGACATGATATCCGGGGCAAATGACTAACACATAGTAGCTTCTTCTTCGCGTAGACGACATCATTCGCGCTGCTCCTAGACAACGGCAGCGCGCTTAAATGACATGCCGGTGATGGCAGCTCATGAGGATTTTCTCGGCAGGAATGGAAGGTCAAGAGAGAGCAAGAAAAAAGTCATATTCGCATGTTGACGATGGGTGACAGACAAAAAGTGAATACCATAGACCGGGGGAGATCAATCTTGGGCTGAATGAATCGATGGCAGTGTCATGAACAATTTAAGCGTCCATTGGTGGATTCCGAAAGCTGCAATGTGCCCTGATAGGATGTCGACACTATTCGCGATAGTCGAACAGCCTTCACAGGTTTGATGCTTCCGATGATCACGAGACCGGCATTGGACATGACGAGGTCAGGAGCTGACATGCGGCTGAATTGTGAGGCGCCCTTCGCCCTACCTTACCGTATCGGACGGTAAGGTAAGGTAGGAGGTATACCTGGGAAAGATGCGGCTTAGAATTTGGACGACAATAAGCTTCACAGTGCCGTTGGCTAGGGAGGAAAAAGAAAAAGAAGGTTTCCTTGTGCATGATCGACGCGGAAAGCCCGATGACAGCTGGGGTACCATGGTGTTGAAATAGGCAGAAGGATAAATTGATTGATTTCTCCGCATGACATTGGTTGAGAAATTGAGATTCTTGCGTCCGTGCAAATTGCAAAAGTACCTGGAACTCGTGTTTGATATAGTAGGTGAATGATGAGTACTTAGGCTTTTGTCCTTCCATCTTTCTCACACATCCCATCTCTGATCAACGTCGTTCATCTCAATCTTGCCAACTTTCCTTTTCATCTCTTGTCTTCTCCCAGAGCTACGGATACGGATTTCTGGTCCGAAAAGATGGCAGCAAAGCAACGCAAGTCAGGTCCACCGGGCCCGCAGATCGGAATGTCGAGGGATGGAGCCGGAGGGCAAGCATTGCCCATGAGTCGCATTGATTCCGTTCTTTTTCTCCACACACGACCACAGCCGCTTTCACCAAGGACCAATATGTGCGGTACGAGGTACACGTACGACTGTGGCCGTGCAGAAAGCATCCCTCCGGATTGATGCCAGAAGTATCCGTAACTTGTAAGGAGTACGAAGTAAGGATTCGACTCCTATTCTTATTCTCTCTGCCGGTTCCAATTACTTTGGCATGGCTTGATGAACCCGTCAGCTAGGTAAGGTAAGGTACAGGCCTGGGTACTTACGCATCCCGTTCCTGGGAAAGCCACATCAACCGTTACAGAAAGCTGCCGCCATGACGCCATGCTTTCGTCTGTTTGTCTCTCCCGTTTTTTCTTTCTCTGTCACTCCATACCCCGTATGGAGTGCCACTTCTTCATATTCTTCAACCCCGGTATACAAACGGCCCCGTTTGCACGCAGCCTCCGTAGCGAAGCGACAACACAGGCCCAGGCCCAGGCCAAGGCCCATAAGCATCCCAACCTGTCGCGTCCCACGCCACGTTCCTTGGACGACCATTGACCATGGACCAGTGTTCAACACGATACGGGCGAAAGACTACCAGACGGGGATTTGCAGCTTCCAACCAAGGTTCTTGGTGCACCCTCGTGTGTGGACCGGCTGTACGGCACAATGACGGCAGAATGCTACGCCGTACTGGACGGGTGGCCCGCTAGAACATGATTGGCCCGTACCTTGGTCAGAGATAGAAAGAAGGCACAGCAAACGCTGGATGGACTCTCCCAGCCCCTCCAAGTTACCCGAGTTCTAACTAAAAGGTGGGAAAGAGGAAAGGTTTGGCACTTGGCAGTAGTCGTTGGTGGTTGCTTGCTTGCTTGCCTTCCTTCCCGTCTGCGTGTTTCCCTCGTGCACTACATTACTTCTTACCTTCCCTTACACAGCAATTAAGTGCCTCATTAGGTAGGTATTTGGTGTGTGTAGCGACAGTAGCGACTGCAGCCAAGCAGGCCCCCCATTGCCCCAAGATACCAGATACCTGATACTCTCCGTATCAAAGTATCCCATCGGGTGGACGTCTCTGTTTGTCACTCGTGTGTGTGTCGGGCGTACGCTAGCCATTCTTCAGGAAGCACTACCCTCGAGCCGGCCTTGTCTTGCATGTTTCTTCTATTCCTTCTTCCCCCATCCCTCGTCTTTGTCCTTGTTTTCTCTCTTCCCTTTCTCTATTTCTGATCTGGGCTTGGTTCAGCTTTGACCTTGCTTTAGCCTCAAATTCCCCGTCAGCTTACCTACCATTACCTTACCTTGCCTTGGGTTGTCTGTCACCTTGCCTACCGCTTCCATCTTTTCATAGGCGCGCGCCGCTACACCACACTCAAGCAAAGCCCCATCTGCCTCCGAGTGTGGAATTGGACCAAGGAACGTCATGGTCGCATAGGATTTTGCTTACCTTACAGTAGCATGATCCTTTTGGCATTCTTCTTTGGCTCTTCTTCTCGCATCCCAGATCAATCCCCCGTCATCTATTTGTCCCGTTACATCTGGAGTCGACGTCTCTCCGCTTGCCAAGCCGGCGCTGGGTAGGGCAAGTTGACATAGGCCGATGGCGGCCCCGCTGAAGAGACATGGCATCTTGGCGGCTTGGTGAGTAAACACCCTCATTCCTTGCTGTACTACCTTTTACCTGCTATGCGGTCTCAGATGGCATCACAAAAAGTCTCAAACCTGCAGCTTTTTGACACAATCTCTCCCATGTCTCGCCCATTCGTGTTTGGTTCTGCGCCAGTGGCATCGCTGACATTAAATCTATTCCCAGTATTCTACTACTTGCATGTACAGCATGGATATCCTCTCGGTTTAACAGCAGCGCTGCTTTTGGTCAGTAAAACCCACGGACTCTTTGCTGTACCTTCTTTACAGATTGCGACACAACCATCGCATAGATAACAGTTACTAACACCAAGCAGAGCGGCCAATACACTTCTCCATTTTGACGCTCCTTGAATCCGGTTTGCTCATCGGGATATGGTGCAGACAGCTCTCGCCGTGGAAAAGTTCAAGCAGCAGCGGGTATCAACTCGCGACCTTCTCAACCTCGAAAAGTGATTGGCAAAGACGACTTCAAGCCGGCATCGATGTCGCGCGCAATCCTCGGTTCTTGTTGTCACCCTACTTCTTCCTAGGATGCGCTATTGTACTGCGATCGTTGCTCTTTTGGCGCACCATTCGCACGATTCACTGCTCTTGGGAGAGCTTCGAGGTTCGTAGACCAATCGCTGTCGCAATGCTGGAGAATTCTCATGACCGCAAAGAACTAACACGCCCCGCATAGGTATTCCTCCCAGCTCTTGTCGTCCTTTATACAACGGTTTCTCCCTCCACCATACGACTCCAACAACATCATGGCGACCAAGATCGATCCCGACGCTGTTGTAATGTTGCTCACTTGCGCTACTTTATCATCGCCATCGTTTGGGCCTGTGCCACAAGGGCTACGCTTGCCCTATCAACACAATCGGCCGGCGCGATATGTCCCGCAGGCTTCCTTCGATGGGAGAGACAGATCCCCATAGCCCAGGTTGTTACTGTCATTTTGGATGCACTGCTGCTGTTCTACCTCTCAAAATGGCGCCAGGACACTGTGGACGATGCGCCGCAGGCCTGGGGATTCGTGTCGAGGCTCTTTCTAGGGTCTGCAGGTGTACTGGCTTTGCTTGCTTGTTTCTCTCTCCACAATGCTCGAAACACCCGTTGGGCATTTGGCCTGCACTTTGTCGAAATCAGAGACCTACTGACGGACAGCACGGTGGCGTCGCTGGGGCTGATTTTGGGATTTTATGTCATGAGTGACATGCATCCTAGCACGTTGGGGATGATTGTCACGGCTTCAGGCGTTTATGCCCATCAGCTCGTCCGCATGCTGCAGGCCGCGCTACCCATGGGCGGCTCTCTGCCCTACATGATAGCTAGTGGTCTTACGATAGTCGGCGTCGGCCTACTTTTACGATACGAAAAAGATATCGCCAACGCCTCTGGTTCTTCGTCGGGAGATCCACGACTCATCAGGTTTCTCTTGATGTGGTACGTTGTCCTCGTTGGCGTCCTCTGTGGAACCTACCTCATCTTCTTCCCGGACTTCAACTCAACCGATACCCTATCCTTCCCCGATCTCCTCTCTGCCGCCAGTACCAATTCCGACACCTGGATCGCGAGAGCGAATCAGAGCTCCACACTCGAGGGCGTGGCGAACGAATATCAACGGCGTTATGGTGTGGCGCCGCCTCCCAACTTTGACAAGTGGTTCGAGTACGCTGTCGCTAACGGTTCGCCCATCATCGACGACTTCACCCAGATTAACGACGATTTACTTCCTTTTTGGGGCGTTGCGCCGAAGGTCCTACGAGATCGTACCAAGCATTGCTTGGAGATTCCGTGGCTTGGCATGGGAGGCATTCGGATTCGTGGAGGAAAGGTCAACGTGGCTCCCGGTACGCCTGGATCTCACATGTGGATGATGACCTCTATGAAGGACATGATTGAGGACTTTGCCGAGCATCTTCCCGATATGGACTTTGCCATCAACCTGAACGACGAGCCTCGCGTGGCGATCCCATTCGAAGATATGTCTAGCCTTCACAGCGTTGGCATGGAATCGAAGACAAAGCTCCTCCATTCGAACGATCGAAAGACGTTTGATAGATCCAAGTCAGCAGTCTGGGGTGACGACGATGCTGTCAAGGGACCTGAGCAGCGGTCCCCCTTTTTCGAGGACCGCATCCGAGATCAAAATTACTACGACTTTGTCGCTCCAACTTGTCCACCTGACTCGGCCGCCCGGAATACGAGATGGTGGAGCCGCAAGGAAGCGTGTCGTGGATGCCTTCTGCCGCATGCTATCCGCGTCTTTGAGGCGCTCGAGAACCCCGTTGTGTCAAACTGGACCTCGGCGACAGACCTCTGCCACCAACCAGACTTGGCGTACCTTCATGGGTTTTTACTATCTCCTGCGCCAGCCCTTTTCACTAGAGATGCGTTTCCCGTGTTCAGCCAAAGCAAGACGTCAGGGTTTGCCGATATCTTGGTGCCTTCGCCTTGGAATTACGATGACAAGGCCGCGTATGATGAGAACGAGGACATGGAATGGAGCAAGAAGAAGAACATTATGTTCTGGAGGGGGTCATCGTCGGATGGGTATGCAGCCTGGGGCTCGTGGCAGGGTTTCCTCAGGGCACGGTTCGTCCATGCTGCAAAGTCGATAACGAGGATTGCCAAACTCCAACAGGATGGTCAGACACAAGTCTTGGGACCAGATGAGCTGCCCAATTTTGACGTTGGCTTCGTGAGCAGATGGACCAAGTGCCACCGACAGGACTGCCAGAGCGAGAAGGATACCTTCTGGGGCATCGGCCAGGACTCACCCGACAAGTCCCAAGTCCCCTTCACTGACCACTGGAAGTACGCACACCTGATGGACCTCGACGGCGCGGGATTCAGCGGGCGCTTCATCCCTTTCCTCCGCAGTAAGAGTCTCGTATACCGCTCCGGCCTCTTCCGGACTTGGTTTAATGAGAGGGTCCACGCGTGGCGTCACTACGTCCCCGTCGATGTGCGACTCCACGAGCTGTGGGATCTCCTGTCGTACTTTGGGATTGACACGGAAGGCAAGAGGCGAGCAGAGGCCATTGCGGAAGAAGGCAGGGCGTGGAGCCGAAAGGCGCTCCGGAGAGAAGACATGCGTGTTTACATGTTCCGGCTACTGCTGGAATGGGGACGACTTGTGGATGATGAGAGGGATCAACTTGGTTTTGCGGTTTGATGAAATACCCCCTTTTTTCTTTGTCTTCATTGCAATACCGGTTCGATAGCATTGGATGCATGGCGTATCTTAGATAAGAACTGGGCATCCGGCGTTGGGTTGATCAGAGGGCTCATGCTTGACATCCCGTTGATAGAGCATCTAGGGATAACGAGGAACGAACACGATTATAGGTAGCGGCTTTTGGCCACCTTAGGTACATAAATGAGGACATCGCTGTCACGTGGCACTTCGAGTTGGTTCTCTTCAAATTCATCATGGTGAACTGCCAATGTCTCCTCATCAGAGTTGTTACAGTCGGCTTTCGCATTGATTTCAGTTGTCTGTGTATACCTACTTCAGTATCGAAAATAACCACCTCGCCAACGATGCGCAACTGTAAGTATACCTCGAGATCGATATGGCTTAAGCTCATGGGCCTTGGACTCAGCCATCCTCCATGTATTCAGGCCGAGACGACACCATCCACTCAAGTCGCCGGTGTCAAGTATCAAAGCCTGTCTAATGGTCGGTGTATGGAACGTTCTGATTGGGTGGCTGGGCCTGCCGCCCATGCAGAAATGACAGGATAAGCGCCTGCCCAGCCTGCCTTGAACTTGCCTGGCTCCTCCTCCTCCTCCTCCTCCTCCTCCTCCTCCTCCTCCTCACCGCAAGGTCACTCAACACTGAGGCAACCGCAGCAGTTAATATGCCTGGCAGGCTCTCAACACCATGTAACCAAATTTTGCAACAGGGGTGTAAGCTTCGCTTCTGCACCGTGGTGCCCTGGGCGGTGCAAAGACATACCCCGAGCAGGCAATTTGTTGGTTTCTTTTTTGTCGCCGAACTTCAGCCTGGTCACATTTTTCGATTCCCCTTCAGAGGGACGCTCTTCCAGAGTCGCAAACAATCATCTTTCTTGCTGATTCTTTCATCATGGGCTTCAGATCGCGAGTATCGGCACTGTTCAAGTCTGACAAGTCCTCTTCAGAAAACAATGATAGTCATCCAGGTGGTGGCACCGATTTTCAGAGCAGTAGTCCGTCACCCGGGGACACTACGAGAACGACAGAGAACCATTTTTGGAGCGACCTGAACGCATCATCGGGGCGAGAGATCGACTCTGCACGAGACTCGGGTAGACGCATTGCACACACCGCTGCAAAGAAACCAGATGCATCCCCTCACGGCATCAAGATTCTTGTCCCGCAGCCGTCGGACAAGACAGGCTGCGTGGATATTGTAGCTATTCACGGGCTCAATGGCCACCGCGAAGAGACATGGACGGATCCCGAAACGGGACTGCAGTGGCTGAGCGACTCTTCATGCCTGCCAAGAGACATACCTACGGCACGGGTGTTGACGTTTGGCTATAACTCCAAAACCTATTTCAGTCGATCAGAATCAGATATACCAGACTTTGCCTCCGAATTTCTTTGGGCACTAAAAGCCCAGCGGACAAGCGCAGAAGAAAGACAGCGCCGCATAGTTTTCATTTGCCATAGCCTTGGGGGTCTGGTTTTCAGACAGGTACACGCAGTGCTCTTACCCTATCCACTCTTCGCATTTCCTGTGCAACATTTCGTAGGATTTCGCGGCTCTCCAAAATCAAGCGAAACCTTCTGCTAACAGATTCAGGCCGTAATTATGGCCCATGAGCAAGACCGTCACTACTCCTGTATCTTGGACCATATTCACGGTGTGGTTTTCTTTGGCACACCGCATCGCGGCTCGAGCCTAGCTGCATGGGACGAAATCGGCACTCTCATTGTAAAAGCCAGCACACTTGGGTACGCAACCAACAGCAAATTATCGAGCAGTTTGAAGGTCGATTCGAAGTTTCTGAGGCGCATATCGGAGTCATTCGCAGCTCGCGGGGAAGACTTCGAAGTTAGAAGCTTCTATGAGAATTTGCGCATGAAGGGTTTGAATTGCAAGGTATCGTGGTCAGCCAGGCATCATAAGCCTCTCTACCAAGTAGTATGGGTGGAAACTGACAGTGAAACCTCAGGTCGTCGAGAAGGAATCGGCCATATTGAATTGGCCTAAAGAGTTGCCCATTGCCTCGAATGCCAATCACTCCGATATCTGCAAGTTTCCGGCACCAGAAGATTCGAGATACAAGGCTGCTTCTCTAGCTATTCGCGAGGCGGTGGGGGACTTAGCATCAGGCACCGATGTTCGTGAGTGTTGCTAAAGGCAAGTGCCACTAAGTATCATCATGTCGACTAATGTAACCCAAGCGCTCGATCCGCTGGCGATGGCATGCCTAAAGGAACTCAACTCAACCTATGAACACCATCTTGACCAGATAGACGACCCGATAGCCAAGACTTGCGAATGGGTCACGTCACATAACATATGGAATTTATGGGACTCGGTACCAGGTTCAGCTCTTCTGTGGATCACAGCTGATGCTGGCTGTGGAAAGTCGGTAGCGGCGAAGTATCTGGTCGACTTTTTTCAGAAGCGAACCTCCGGAGCATATCGCCACACTCATGTCTGCTACTTCTTCTTCAAGGAAGGACTAGAAAACCAGGACAACGCACACTCGGCCGTATCAGCGGTCCTTCACCAACTATTCTCCAGACAACATCGATTAATGCACCACGCCATGGTCAAATACTTTAGTATGCCAAAGAGTAGCTTCAATTGCTTTTCCACACTTTGGTCCATCCTCCTAGCAACGATGGAGGACCCTCACACGAAGGGCGTGGTGTGGATACTGGATGGTCTGGATGAGTGCGAAGAGAAGTCATTGGACGAGCTCATCAAAGCTCTAGCGGACTTTGTCCAGTCTCGCAAAACGGTGCCCATGAAAGCTAGGCCGACCTGCAAAATCGTTCTATTAAGCCGACCGCTCAACTCTATCGAACGAAGGCTTAGACTCCGATCAGGCAACGGTAATCACAACGTTGACCCACGGTACAACGAAGATTGCGATAGTTTCAGACTCAGTGGTGAGGAAGAGAGTGTCTCCGTTGCGAAGGATATCGCTCATTTCGTCGTATCAAAGATTTCGGATCTTGGTCAGCAGTCAGAGCTTTCCACCGACATTCTCAGCCGACTTGAAAAACGGCTTATCAGCCGTGCCGATTACACTTTTCTTTGGGTGTCTTTGGTCATGAACATCGTAAAAGAAGCGGAGGTTGACGGGATTTCAATGGATCAGATCGAAACCATCTTGGCCACCACAAAGCTCGAAGACGTTTACGAGAAATTGTTGTCTGGTCGGGCATCACCTTTGAAAACCAGAAAGGTTTTACTACTCATACTTGCCGCCGTCCGCCCATTGACTTTGGATGAGTTATGCGCAGCTGTGGAAGTCAATCAAGATTACCATGAAACAGGAGAAGCGAAACGAGCGTTGGCTCAATTAAAAGATAAGAAGCCAGAGCTCAGGGCCTCCCAGGAGTTCGAAATCGCCGAGACCGCATCAGTATTATCACCAATATCCTCGTCTTCCGCACTTGAACCAAGGAAGAAAACGACGAAACGAAGGGCCGCCACCAGGTCTGGAAGGAATATTGCCTCGACAAATTTGACGCATAAGCTCAAGAATGATGAAAGGAGAGGTATGAGGACGATTCACCGCCGGCTTGAGGCGCATCATGATAGATTCAGTCTACAGCCAGGAATGAAGACATCGACCGTGTCAGATCTGCAAGAACTGCAAAATTACATTCACAAGCCATTCATCAATCATCTACGTCAGGTCTGTGGCCATTTCGTCAGGATCCGAAATCAGAAAATTTATCTAGTCCATCAGACAGCCCGCCAATTTCTTTTAGACAAACACAGAGATCTCGATATTAGGACGACTTCCCAACGGCAAAGGCACTCTCTACCCATAGACCAAGACAAACAGGAACCAAGAACTTCGAAGTTTGTTTCGCAATGGCAACGTTCAATCAGTCTGGCGGATGCAAATCTGTACATGCTCCAAATTTGCGTTGATTACATCAACCTGTTCCAGTCAGTAAAGGTATTCAAGACTGCCTTGAATCGAGAAGAAGCGGGTGTTTATCTGAAGAAGTGTCGCAAAGATCCTCTTCGGGCATTCCTAAGATATGTTTCATGTCACTGGCTAGATCATTATCGACCTGTACGGCAGGATCTGAAGCTCTGTTATGACTACCTCCTACGACGAAACACTCCACAATTTAATACATGGACTATTTCCCATGATTCGTGGATTGCGGAAGAACAACGAAAAGTTCTAGAAGTAGGGGGCGTTCCCATCGTCAAGGAGGAGGAAGAAGAGGCTGGTCACGGCAAAGTCGGGCTCCATTTGCCGACGACAAAACCGGGCCCCTGGAGAAGAAAGCAAGAAGACTCTGAACAGCTCTATTTCAATCTGATAGGTAAAGAGATTGATTTATACGACGAAGAGTATATACATGGGAAGCGGTACTGGAAGGGAAAAGACTACATTGAATCAGGCGATGCCAGTACAGGGCCATCAGACGAAGAAGGTGAAGAAGTTGAACAGGACTCAAGAGAGCCAAATGCAACGGTTCCTGATCGTATGCAGTACTACCGCCAACAGCAGAGTAAGCGTGTGATGGAAATCATTGAAGAGGGTCGAGGCGCAACCTCAGCTTCCATGGCAAATCCGACTTCGTCTCGTTCCTGGCTGGCATGACGACTCCCTCGAACTCGGATGCTCGCCACCAGTCTTGGAATAGCCGTAGAAAGTCAAGCAAATAGATGGTTGATACAGAGACATGATCTCTTAGGGCCTATAGTGATTCAAGTGTCAAGTTCTACCGCACGTGCTGTCTGCCTGACCGCAAAACATAGTGAGACAAAAGAAACGACACCACCACACGAGCGAAGACCTTCAGCCAGTCAAGAAGAATTGCCCATCATAAACGAACCAAAAGAGGAGAAACAAGCCACGAGCTTGTTAAAGCCTCTCTATCATCCGCAGCTGTAGTCTTGCGCTTCACTTAAGTGCAAGCCAACTTCGGACCGGTCTCGCAAGGATCTGGTGACATCTACGTAGACAGCATCATGCC